ATTGGGGGCAAATGCATGGTGTAACCAGTCAAAAGAAAAAGTCCCTAGTGACCCATGCCTTCTGTTTGCCCTCCAAAAGCACACACAAATTAGCCTTGAGGATATTCTTTTGCCTGAACGCTCTGGGAAATTTCAGAGTGATACACTAAAAAAGGCTTCACTTTGCAATCACCACTAACATTGGAACACATGAGAAGAGTAAGCCTAAATAACAAAAAGGCTTTCATAGGTTATGTCCCGAGAGTGCCTTTCCTCCTGAGTAATGTAGGTCCTGCTTGACATTTTCCCCCTCAAAACAGGCCTGTTTTATCACAATTAAAACACTTTTTCCCAGGTTTCAGTCCCTTCACTGTCTATTACCCCTTAAATTTCCTGCACATATTTTTCAGCTGCTTTGTAGTCCGAACTGCGCCTCACCATGCCTTATCACACTATGTATGCCACTACTTCTTAAATCTCTCAAACCAACCTTTGCTGCCTTAATTCCCTCACATCATCACGTCCAGGCATTTTTTTTATTAACCCTCATGCAACTTCCTACCCTTTTTCCACTTATGATCACTTGAGAGATGCTATCTCCTGCTATCTGTTTTTCATTTTATCCACACCAATAAGAGTCTCTCACATCTTCTATCACTTGCGATCTCTGTTTTGAAAAACACAGTTGAAACCTTTTGGGAAGAACAGCTTCCTTGATTGCCGTTTTCTTGGACACAATAGTAGCGATGGGTTTATTGGGGTTTACTATACAACCTGGCCAGCTCGGAGACACGCACTCCACTTTCATACTTAGCAATGATCTCTTTCTTCATCTCCCGTAGTAATTCTCACCTTATTCCTGTAGGGTTGGCACTTTGAAGCTTTTCTTGGGCCCTGGGCACTTATTTTGCAGATAAAATCACCAAAAACACTGTAATAATACGAAATGTTCCGATTGTATGCTTGGATGTTACCGCGGAGGCTGGCTGGTAAACAATGCCACCGGCGGAACATGTGAGGCTGGCTCAGGCCGCACATTTGACGCATCTCGGACGAATAGCGTTGAGTGGGTTTTTTTAGCGGTATGCGAGGCAAAGTCTTAGCGATAAAATGTATCGGTATGCAGATTTAACGTTATGTGATGCCAACGGTATGCGGGGGTCCACTGTATTCAGATATTTGGGAGTGGACGTGTCAGTGGATGGGTCTATGAAAGGTGAGGTGAATCAGAATTGATGAGGGAAAAAGGGTGAGCGGTGCACTTAGGAGTCTGTGGAGACAAAGAACTTTGTCCTTGGAGGCAAAGAGGGGAATGTATGAGAGTATAGTTTTACAAACGCTCTTATATGGGTGTGAAGCATGGGTGATGAATGCTGCAGCGAGGAGAAGGCTGGAGGCAGTGGAGATGTCATGTCTGAGGGCAATGTGTGGTGTGAATATAATGCAGAGAATTTGTAGTTTGGAGGTTAGGAGGAGGTGCGGGATTACCAAAACTGTTGTCCAGAGGGCTGAGGAAGGGTTTTTGAGGTGGTTCGGACATGTAGAGAGAATGGAGCGAAACAGAATGACTTCAAGAGTGTATCAGTCTGTAGTGGAAGGAAGGCGGGGTAGGGGTCGGCCTAGGAAAGGTTGGAGGGAGGGGGTAAAGGAGGTTTTGTGTGCGAGGGGCTTGGACTTCCAGCGGGCATGCGTGAGTGTTTGATAGGAGTGAATGGAGACACACGATTTTTAATACTTGACGTGCTGTTGGAGTGTGAGCAAAGTAACATTTATGAAGGGGTTCAGGGAAACCGGCAGGCCGGACTTGAGTCCTGGAGATGGGAAGTACAGTGCCTGCACTCTGAAGGAGGGGTGTTAATGTTGCAGTTTAGAAACTGTAGTGTAAAGCACCCTTCTGGCAAGACAGTGATGGAGTGAATGATGGTGAAAGTTTTTCTTTTTCGGGCCACCCTGCCTTGGTGGGAATCGGCCAGTGTGATAATAAAAATAAAATAGTATTAAGAATGAATCTAGGTATACAAGTTGAAGGAATGAGAGACAAGAATGGGGACAATACAGATTGAAAGAATTGCTAGGTATAATTAATTATTGTTAGGATCACACTGGTAAGTAGGGGTTTTTAACAGTAGATTTGAAGTGGCTGGCAGGCAGAGGAAGACTGGTGTTTTCAAGTGGTGTGTTCCAGACTTTTGTTCCTTTTATGCACTGAAGTTTTACAAAGATTAAGCCAGACACTGGGAATATCACAAAGATTTTTGTATCTAGCATTATGCCTATGAGTTCTGTTTTAACTATCAAGAAAGTTTCATGGCGGGATTGATATTAAAATTTGTCCCGTATACGTAGTACACACAGTAGTATGAGTGAATTTGATGTATAATAAGTAGGGTGTGAAGCATGGGTTGTAAATGTTGCAGCGAGGAGGAGGAGGCTGGAGGCAGAGATGTGTCTAAGGGCAATGTGTGATGTAAAAATTATGCAAAGAATTTATAGTGTGGAAATTAGGAGGTGGTGTGGAGTTAACTAAAAGCATTATTCAGAAGGGTGAGGAGGGAATGTTGAGATAGTTTGGTCATTTAGAGAGGATGGAGCAAAACAGGATGATTTGGAGAGTTTATAAATCTGTAGTGGAGGGAAGAAGGGTAGGGTCCATCCTAGGAAAGGATGGAGGGGGGTAAACGAGATTTTGTGTGCAAGGGGCTTGGATATACAGCAGGCATGTGAGAGCATGTTAGATAGGAGAGTGGAGATGAATGGTTTTTGGGACTTAACAAGTACAATGCCCGCACTTTTTTTAAAGGGGTTTGGGGTATTTACTGTTTGGGAAACATTAAACTGTCTTTTCTTTTTTTGGGTCTCCCTGCCTCAGTGGCAGACAGCCAGCATGTTGGAAAAAAAAAAAAAGTAGGTTTAGGTCTTTGTAGAGTGGGGGGTAGTTTTTGGGCAGTAGACTGAGAAATCATTGACAGCTCCCCTTTATGTATTGGTTTAAAAGATGACTTGCTGTTGTGGTTCGGGCAAAAATAGCATGGGTGAGGTAGGGATAGATTAAAGCAGTCATGTATAAGTAAGTGCTGTTTGAGGTAATGTAATGACCCGGGGCGATGCCAACAAAAGGGATACTGTTAAATGTAGGTGTTGAATTTCAAGTTGCTGTAAATTATCGCCCTGGAATTTTTCCTTCTTTTGTTTTAGAAATAAGGAACTGTTATCCAAACTCTTAGGTGGACAGTCGTAGCGCTGTTCCCAAACTCAGTGAAAGGTCTTGTCAGTGTTAAGGGTTTGAGTTTTTTGGTAGTAACCCTGAACCAATACTGCCTTCCCTAGCAAAAAATCCCCATATCATGCTTACAATAAAAAAGCCATATATTTAAAGGGTAAAATGGCTAATGATTTAAAAGAAAAAAAAAGCATACCCTTTTGGGCATTAACTGGCTTGAGGAAGCCCCAGATGATACTACTGCTTTAAAAAAGCTGCATTTTTCTTCACAAGTTTTTACGCCAACAATCGATAAAAATTTGACACATGTGCAAATCTTGGGGATCTTTATTGAGGAAAGTTTCACCAAAACGTGGCTTCATCAGTCCCTACAAAGGGGAATCTTTAAGAACAGGGAAAAATAGGGGAATCAGTCCTTCAACCCTTTGGGGATGTGGTCAGTCCATGGACTGAATGTGGGGGTTCTACTGGGAATGTCACAACGACACCAAGGAAACATTGGCGACGTGGTGAGACACCCCAGAAACCCCCCAAAACCATCGGAAACGTCTTTACGAATTCCCCAATGAAGGTGTAATGCTACTGACAATGGGAGTCGACTATGGGAGCATCACGACGGACTCGCCAAGGAAGGTAAAAAACATTGTGTTGGGGGTAGCCCAATTAGGTACATGGATAGGGATTCTCTTGAAGGATAGGAGTAGGGGCAGGTGGTGTTTTTTCCCGGGGGTGGGAGAAGGATATTGTTAGCCTTTGGTGACATAATGAGAGGAATGGAGCAATCCCATTATCTGTCCAGTGCTGGAGGAAAAAATGTTTGGGAGAAGTTTAAATGAGGACCGATTAGAGGTTAGGTGCAATAGAGATAATTTGGGGGAAGGGTGGGAACCCTGTCATATTTTTATTTTGCCAAGGGAGGATTGGAAATGAAAGGGTGTCCAGGGCAATTTGGGGTCAATTGTTGGCGGACAAATACTGTAATGAAAAAGCAGTAACCTGACAAAATGGGACCTTTCTATGGCAGAAATGAATGTAGCAGGGATGGGGTTTACTTATTAGGTTTGGGGTGGGGGCCTGGCCAACGCAGGGGGGAGCGTTAGGGGGCTTTTTTAAAAAAGAAATAGATAGGGGATGGGTTTTCGTGGAAAAACAATGAATTCTGGTGTAGCGATAGGAGAGTTTTTTAAAGGAAACCCGTTTTAGGGAGGGAAAGAGGAAGAGTTATTTATGAACTAGGAAACGAATGGCATTTGGGATAAAGGGGAGTAAACATATGGAGGAACAGAAATCAGCAGGAAAAAAAAGAGAAGGGAGGGTCCTTTATATATATTAAAAAATTGTAGTGTAGGGAAAAAATGGATGGTTGGACTAGTTGCCATCAGGTAAATGTGCTAGGGGAAAAAGATGGATGAGTTGAGACTAGTTGCTAGTGCCTTAACTGAGACGTGGTTCAATACGAAAAATCGGGATATGCCTGCTGAATGTCACATACAGGGTTTTAAATTGTTCCCAAATGCAGAAGTTCAGGAAGGGGGGGGGGGTGGCCTGTATTCTGAGATCGCTTAAACTGTTGCATAAAAACAGGTATAAAGTCTGAAACCCATATGAGTCTGTTTGGATAGAATTTTCAGAGGGAAATGAAAAATTGATTTTAGGCGTAATATATCGTCCCCCAAACTTAGATAGGGACCAAGGGAGACTACTTTGGGAGAAAATTGTTAAGGGCACAAGGCATGTTTTTGTAGTAATTTTGGGGACTAAATTTAGTATATTGATTGAATTTTTGATGGGAATTTTAAAAATCAAACGACTTCTTAGAAGCAGTTCAGGATTGTTTTTTGAAGCCGTTTGTGACAGCCTACAAGGGGAAATAACCTGCTTGACTTAGTTCTGGCAAACAATGAATCCCTTGTTAATAATTTAGAAATTTCAGAGGAACTTGGTGCTAGCGACCACAAATCAATTACATTTAGCATTGAATGGAAGTATGATAGTAGGGATAACTCAGTTACAGTTCCAGATTTTCGCTTAGCAGATTACGATGGGCTTAGAGAACACTTATCATCTGTTGACTGGGGTAACGAAGAGAGCTATCAATATGACAGTTTTCTGAACACTATACATGCTGCCCAAAGAACATTTATCCCGTATAAAGAAATTAGATCAAGCAGAAATTATCCAAAATGGATGAATAATAGGCTCAAATATCTTTTAGGGCATAAGAAATTTATAGGCTTATCAAAAGAGGTGAGAGTCATCTTATGAATCAGTATATTGACATTAAGAGGGAAGTTAAAAAGGGGATAAGAAAAGCTAAATGGGACTATGAAATTAAAGTTGCCAGGGATTCGAAAACTAACCCAAAAAGTTTTTTCCAGGTATATAGAACAAAAGTCAGAGATAAGATAGGTCCCCTTAAAAATAACTATGGGCATCTTACTGACAAAGAGAATGAAATGTGCTCAATTTTAAATAATTATTTTCTCTTGGTTTTTACAAAGAAAGACACTAACAATATCCCAGTAATTAATTTTTATAGTGGGCCTGAAGAAGATAAATTATGTAACATCACAGTCGCTAATGAAATGATTATGAAACAAATAGACAGACTGAAGCAAAATAAGTCGCCGGGACCTGATGAGCTTTTTTCAAGGGTTCTTAAGGAATGCAAAATAGAACTCTGTGAACCATTAACTAATATTTTTAATTTATCTCTTCAAACAGGTATACTGTCTGATATGTGGAAGATGGCTAACGTAATTCCCATTTTTAAATCAGGGGATAAGTCATTACCGTCAAATTAGCGCCCAATAAGCCTGACCTCAATTGTAGGCAAATTGCTAGTCAATTATAGCTGAGATTATAAGAAGCCATCTGGATAAGCATAATCTGATTAATGATACTCAGCATAGATTAACGAGAGGCCGTTCTTGTCTAACTAAGTTATTAACTTTCTTCAGTAAAGCTTTTGAGGCTGTTGATCATGATAAAGAATTTGATATTATTTACTTAGATTTTAGCAAGGCTTTTGATAGAGTTCTGCACCAAAGACTGTTAAAGAAAGTGGCAGCTCATGGCATTCAGGGAAAAGTGCTCTCGTGGATCGAGTCATGGTTCACAGACAGGAAGCAGTGTGTCCATAAATGGGGTTAAATTCGAGTGGGGATCTGTAACAAGTGGCGTGCCACAGGAATCAGTCTTAGGCCCTTTGTTGTTTATAATGCATGTACTGTATATATCAATGACCTTGATGATATGAGTGATATGATCAAATTCGCCGATGACACAGATAGGTAGGATAATTGATTCAAACATAGATGTTAGGGAACTTCAGGATTTAGACAATCTCTATTCTTGGTCAGAAAAGTGGCAGATGCAGTTCAATGTAGATAAATGCAAGGTTCTGAAGCTTGGCAGTGTCCATAACCCTAGCACTTATAAGTTAAATAATGTAGAACTTAGCCATACAGATTGCGAAAAGGACTTGGGGGTTATGGTAAGCAGCAACTTTAAACCAAGACAGCAGTGCCTAAGCGTACGTAATAAGGCAAATAGATTATTGGGATTTATATCAAGAAGTGTAAGCAACAGAAGTCCAGAGGTCATACTGCAGCTTTATACATCATTAGTAAGGCCTCACCTAGATTATGCAGCTCAGTTCTGGTCTCCGTATTACATAATGGACATAAATTCGTTAGAAAACATTCAGCGTAGAATGACTAAATTAATACATAGCATTAGAAATCTTCCTTATGAAGAAAGATTGAAAACTCTTAAATTACATTCACTTGTTAGACGAAGAATGACGGGAGACATGATCAAAGTGTATAAGTGGAAGATGGGTATTAATAAAGAGGATATTAATAAGGTCTTGAGGATATCTCTCCGAGAGAGAACCTGCAGTAATGGATTTAAATTAGACAAGTTTAGATTTACAAAGGACATAGGAAAGTATTGGTTTGGAAATAGGATAGTTGATGAGTGGAACAGTCTACCTAGTTGGGTTATTGAGGCTAGGACTTTGGGTAGTTTCAAATTTAGGTTGGATAAACATAAGAGTCCTAGGTAATAGGTTGGTAAACAGCAACTGCCCAGGGAGGTACTACCGTCCTGCCAAGTGAGTGTACAATGAAAACCTGTAATTGTTTTACACGATGGTACGATCGCTGGTGTCTTTTGTCTGTCTCATAAACATGCAAGATTTCAGGTATGTCTTGCTACTTCTACTTACACTTAGGTCACACTATACATACATGTACAAGCATATATATACACACACCCCTCTGGATTTTCTTCTATTTTCTTTCTAGTTCCTGTTCTTGTTTATTTCCTCTTATCTCCATGGGGAAGTGGTACAGAATTCTTCCTCCGTAAGCCATGCGTGTTGTAAGAGGCGACTAAAATGCCGGGATCAAGGGGCTAGTAACCCCTCCTCCCGTATAAATTACTAAATTTAAGAGAAACTTTCGGTTTTCTTTTTGGGCCACCCTGCCTTGGTGGGATGCGGCTGGTGTGTTGAAAGAAAGAAATATATGAGTGAGAGGGGTTGGATTTGAGTGGGACTTGCAAATGAGTGGATAGAGTTATCAAGAGATTATTTCTTGGGTAGCATTGAAAATTAGGTTGGGCATGTGTTTTGTTAGTGGGATGGATTATAAAGGACCTGCTTAGTATGGGCCAACAGGCCTGCTGCAGTGATCCTCCTTTCTTATGTTCTTATGAAGCCACTGTGTGGCAAAATGTTTCCTCAATAAAGATACCCAAGAGTTGCACGTGTCTAATTTATCAACGTGTCGGTTCTCTGAACCATTCATCTACAACACAGCCAACACAGCTTAGCACATGGTGGGAGCAGCAGAAGGTATCAGGTGAGCTGCCAATTCACAGTCCTACGGAAATCAATTTTGACATTAGAAAAACAATTCAAAACCAAATTATAGTTTATTGCTGAGCTTTCATTTTGGAAAAATCAAAAGAACATTATCTTCACCCACTTTTCCCTTCCCGGCCTAAAAAATTCATCCCCACCTGCAATAAACCATCCTAATAGACATACTAATTTAGATCAAAGTTATTTATTTCAGCATGATACAATGGTTGTACAGAGATGGATGACATTTAGGTGTGAATGCAAAAAGCCACTAGTATGCAAAGCCTTTCAGGTTTAAAATTGCCACTGCTATTACCATGTATAAAACCCACCCCTCGATGGAATATGACAGGAAAACATAGCTACTTTTCTCCCGCTATATAACTAATATACAGTAGGGTAGCAACACCACTGCTGGTGCACCCAATTTGGTGCAACGTAAAAATATAATCCCTACCACCTAGATAAGGTCACCCACCATCTTGAAGCATAAAAGCAACAGAGTACAAGAAAAATTACCAAGGGCCCTGACAGATGCCTTTCCTCACTGGCAATCCATTATGTTAAGTCCACCACTAAGAATTGTAACTCAAAATATAGCACACAACTTGGTTCAAAGCCCTTTGACATCCCAAGGTACGATGAGTAAAAGAAAGTTAAAACAGTGAAAGCATTACCTCTTACTGCCTCTGGAGGCTGAGAAATTAATTTGAGGCCAACACACAACTACTCAGGAAAACTTTAATTTCCTAATCATGTTCATCAGTTAACAAATTTTTGCCTTGGGGTTCGTAAAATATTGTCATGTGCCTTTGCACATGACTATTTGACAAGGTGGGAACTGAAAATCTAACAACCATAAGGGTTAAGTACTGTATCTCATTCCTCTTATTGAAAATGGGGAGAGGATGAACATCCAGCATATCAACCTAAAAGGAACAAGAAATATATCCCCAAATCCCAGCAGCCCCAGGAACCACCTCCAACCTCAAACTACCACCAGCACTGCCTTTCCCAGCTCCTACCCTCCCTTGTGGGCTCTGGTGGTTAACGCTCTCACTTCACACGGTGAGGGCCTGGGTTCGATTCCCAGCCAGAGTAGAAACATTGGACGTATTTCTTTCCACCTGTTGTCTATGTTCCCCATCAGTAAAATGGGTACCTGGGTGTTAGTCGACTGGTATGGGTCGCATCCTGGGACACTGACCTAATTTGCCCGAAATGCGGAGCATAACAAGGGACTTTCTATGTAGTAGTATGTCATGTCATTGTTGTCAGCTAGGACTGTATACCTTGTACATGTACTTGTAGTAAATAAAGATATTATTATTATTATATTATTGTCAACTACACAAATCCAGCAGCCCCAGGAACCACCTCAAACCACCACCAGCGCTGCCTTTCCCAGCTCCTACCCTCCCTTGTCAACCACACAAATGAAGAATGAAGTCACAATACCGTGACTGGAACAATACACAAATAACCCGCACACAGGAAAAAGAAACCTGTGACAATGTTTTGGCCCAACATGGACCTCTGACTAGTCAATGGTCTGAGTCAGTTATCTGTACGCTGTGCACACAAATGACATTCACCTAACAACGGGTAATGGCAAATGGTTAAAAAAGAACATTTGTATCTTTACTCACAAATCATGGAGCTGCAGGTAACCTCTAGTATTACTTTTGCCACCAAAAAGGCAAATCCCATCAGGCAGTGCAGCAACCACCACAGCAGTGAGAGACGTCCAGTCAAATGCCGATTCCACATCCCTAGAGAAGTAAATTTTACTATTAGGAAAACATTTCAAACAGATTATTATTGTATATTGTTGGATTAAAAGCCTAGAAACAAAAAAAAGGGTGCAGCATATTTCCCTTTGCTCCTCACCCTAGAAAAATAAATCATCCCCACCTACACTGGGCCATCCATACATATTCTAATGCTTAGCTCCAGCTCTGTTGCAAACCATGACTAGAGAGCATTTCGAGTCCTCTCATGTTTGCAATGATGGCAATTATTGCACGAGAGCTCTCAATCGAATACATGTATACAGGAAGGACCTGCTTTACCGAGCTTTGCTTTACACTATTATGCTTTATGGCATTTTACTAATACGTACAGCGGTTTTCAATTACAGTGGACCCCCGGTTAACGATTTTAATCCGTGCAAGAGGGCTCATCGTTATGCGAAATAATCGTTATGCGAATGAATTTTCCCCATAAGAAATAATGGAAATAAAATTAATCCGTGCAAGACGCCCAAAAGTATGAAAAAAATTTTTTTTTACCACATGAAATGTTAATTTTAATACACACAAACTGAAAAAGGCATGCACAATTACATGACACTTACTTTTATTGAAGATCTGGTGATGATTGATGGGATGGGAGGAGGGGAGAGCATTATCTTCTTACTGTTTAGAAGGGGAATCCCCTTCCATTACGACTTGAGGTAGCAAGTCCTTTTCCGGGGTTACTTCCCTTCTTCTTTTAATGCCACTAGGACCAGCTTGAGAGTCACTGGACCTCTGTCGCACAACAAATCTGTCCATAGAGCTCTGTACCTCCCGTTCCTTTACGATTTGTCTAAAATGGGCCACAACATTGTCATTGAAATAGTCACCAGCACGGCTTGCAACAGCTGTGTCAGGGTGATTTTCATCTATAAAGGTTTGCAGTTCAACCCACTGTGCACACATTTCCTTAATCTTTGAAGTAGGCACAATGGATTCCACAACTGGCATAGGCTTCTCAGGGTTAGCCCAAACCCTTCAAAATCTTTCTTAATTACCATACTAATTCTCACCCTTTTTACCACAGGGTTGGCACTAGAAGCTTTCTTGGGGCCCATGGTCACTTATTTTCCAGAAACAGCACCGAAAACACTGTAATAATACGAAATATTCCGAGTGTATGCTTGGATGTTACCGCGGAGGCTGGCTGGTAAACAATGGGACGGCCGGCACATGTGAGGCTGGCTGAGGGCACATTGGACGCGTCTCGGACGAAAATCGGTAAGCGGGTTTTTAATCGGTATGCGCGGCAAAAATTTTGCGATAAAAGTAATCGGTATGCGGAAAAATCGCTATGTGATGCCATCGTTATGCGGGGGTCCACTGTATACCCTACAATAATAAATACATTCACCACTCACTATAAGCTAAGGATGTGAGCATTTTTTAGGCCTAGCTTTATTGCTCACTTAATATGTGATACAGTAGTGTAAACATGTTACCAGGCTTTTATATGCATTTTCACTTTACAGCAGTAGCTCAGAACCTAACCTGCTGTATAAGTGGGGCCCTACAGCAGGCAGGCCCCGCTTATACAGCAGGCCATGTTCTGGCCCACCCCTTTAAATAAAAAATTGCTGTTAAGTGAAACAGAGAGACTTTTCACTTCCATATAAAAGCTTGATAACATGCTTACAGTACGAGTTATTAAGTGAGCAATAGAGTTAGGCCTAAAAAACGTCCCGTAGCTCTAACGATAGAGCTACGGGACACCATAATCTATGTAACTGTGTATACCTGAATAAACTTGCTTGGTTTAGTGCTCCTTTTTTATTAAAATAATAAACCTAGACTAGGTGTAAAATTGTCTGTTGGATAAAGTAACATTTGCCAGCCAGGCCACTGTGCCTCGCGGCCTGGCTGGGCAAAGCTCTAGCTTCACATGTTGGATAAAGTAACATTTGCCAGCCAGGCCACTGTGCCTCACGGCCTGGCTGGCAAAGCTCTGGCTTCACATGTTGGATAAAGTAACATTTGCCAGCCAGGCCACTGTGCCTCGCGGCCTGGCTGGCAAAGCTCTGGCTTCACATGTTGGATAAAGTAACATTTACCAGCCAGGCCACTGTGCTCACGCCTGGCTGGCAAGCTCTGGCTTCACATGTTGGATAAAGTAACATTTGCCAGCCAGGCCACTGTGCCCGCGCCTGGCTGGCAAAGCTCTGGCTTCACATGTTGGATAAAGTAACATTTGCCAGCCAGGCCACTGTGCCTCACGGCCTGGCTGGCAAAGCTCTGGCTTCACATGTTGGATAAAGTAACATTTGCCAGCCAGGCCACTGTGCCTCGCGGCCTGGCTGGCAAAGCTCTGGCTTCACACACTGAGGGTCCGGGTTTGATCCCTGCCACGGGTGGAAATATTCGACGCTTTTCCTTACACCTGTTGTCCTGTTCACCACACATCAGTCCACTAACACCCCTCACCTGGGTGTTAGTAGACTGGTGTGGGTGGCATCCTGGGTGTTAGTGGACTGGTGTGGGTGGCATCCTGGGTGTTAGTGGACTGGTGTGGGTGGCACCCTCAGTCTTAGTGGACTGGTGTGGGTGGCACCCTCAGTCTTAGTGGACTGGTGTGGGTGGCATCCTGGGTGTTAGTGGACTGGTGTGGGTGGCATCCTGGGTGTTAGTGGACTGGTGTGGGTGGCATCCTGGGTGTTAGTGGACTGGTGTGGGTGGCATCCTGGGTGTTAGTGGACTGGTGTGGGTGGCATCCTGGGTGTTAGTGGACTGGTGTGAGTGGCATCCTGGGTGTTAGTGGACTGGTGTGGGTGGCATCCTGGGTGTTAGTGGACTGGATCAAGAGCCCCTGACCAGCATCAATGACCCTCCCCCCGAGGTGCACATCCAGTTCCCAGGATCAAGAGTCCCTGACCAGCATCAAGGACCCTCCCCCTAAGGTGCAGATCCATTTCCCTGGATCAAGAGCCCTGACCAGCATCAAAGACCCTCCCCCTGAGGTGCAGATCCAGTTTCCAGGATCAAGAGCCCCTGACCAGCATCAAGGACCCTCCCCCTAAGCTGCAGATCCAGTTCCCAGGATCAAGAGCCCCTGACCAGCATCAAGGACCCTCCCCCCGAGGTGCAGATCCAGTTCCCTGGATCAAGAGCCCCTGACCAGCATCAAGGACCCACCCCTGAGCTGCATATCGTTCCCATGATCAAGAGCCCCTGACCAGCATCAAGGACCCTCCCGAGCTGCAGATCGTTCCCAGGATCAAGAGCACCTGACCAGCATCAAGGGCCCTCCCCCTGAGCTGCAGATCAAGTTCCCAGGATCAAGAGCCCGACCAGCATCAGGGACCCTCCCCCTAAGCTGCAGATAGTTCCCAGGATCAAAAGCCCCCTGACCAGCATCAAGGGCCCTTCCCCCGAGCTGCAGATAGTTCCCAGGATCAAGAGCCCCTGACCAGCATCAAGGACCCTCCCCCCCGAGCTGCAGATAGTTCCCAGGATCAAGAGCCCTTGACCAGCATCAAGGACCCTCACCCCTGAGCTTCATATTTCCCAGGATCAAGAGCCCCTGACCAGCATCAAGGTCCCTCCCCCGAGCTGCAGATCCAGTTCCCAGGATCAAGAGCCTCTGACCAGCATCAAGGTCCCTCCCCCGAGTTGCAGATTTAGTTCCCAGGATCAAGAGCCCCTGACCAGCATCAAGGACCCTCCCCGAGCTGCAGATCGTTCCCAGGATCAAGAGCTCCCTGACCAGCATCAAGGACCCCCCTGAGCTGCAGATAGTTCCCAGGATCAAAAGCCCCTGACCAGCATCAAGGACCCTCCCCCGAGCTGCATAGTTACCAGGATCAAGAGCCCCTGACCAGCATCAAGGACCCTCCCCCTGAGCTGCAGATAGTTCCCAGGATCAAGAGCCCCTGCCCAGCATCGAGGACCCCCGAGCTGCAGATCCAGTTCCCATGATCAAGAGCCTTTGACCAGCATCAAGGACCCTCCCCCGAGCTGCAGATCCAGTTCCCATGATCAACAGCCCCTGACCAGCATCAAGGACCCTCCCCGAGCTGCAGATCGTTCCCAGGATCAAGAGCCCCTGACCAGCATCAAGGACCCTCCCCTGAGCTGCATATCCAGTTCCCATGATCAAGAGCCCCTGACCAGCATCAAGGATCCTCCCCCCGAGCTGCAGATCCAGTTCCCAGGATCAAGAGCCCCTGACCAGCATCAAGGACCCTCCCCCTGAGCTGCAGATACAGTTCCCAGGATCAAACAGCCCCCTGACCAGCATCAAGGGCCCTTCCCCCGAGCTGCGGATACAGTTCCCAGGATCAAGGGCCCCTGACCAGCATAGTTCCCAGGATCAAGAGCCCCTGACCAGCATCAAGGACCCTCACCCCTGAGCTGCATTTCCCATGATCAAGAGCCCCTGACCAGCATCAAGGACCTCCCCCATATCCAGTTCCCAGGATGAAGAGCCCATGTTCAGCATCAAGGACCCTTGAGCTGCAGATCCAGTTCCCAGGATCAAGGACCCTCCCCTATATACAGTCCCATGATCAAGAGCCCCTGACCAGCATCAAGGACCCTCACCTATATCCAGTTCCCATGATCAAGAGCCCATGTTCAGCATCAAGGACCCTCCCTTGAGCTGCAGATCCAGTTCCCAGGACAAAGACCCTCCCCCAGATCCAGTTCCCAGGATCAAGAGCCCCTGACCAGCATCAAGGACCCTCCCCCAGATCGTTCCCAGGATCAAGAGCCCCTGACCAGCATCAAGGACCCTCCCCCAGATCGTTCCCAGGATCAAGAACCCCTGTCCAGCATCAAGGACCCTCCCCTGAGGTGATAAATAAGGGCAGTAATGAAGGATGAGCCGCCATGACAGTTGCCGCTACAAACCCTCACATATAACGACCATTTCTCAACTAACCGGGAGACGCCATTAACAAAGACGCCACTAACAACCATCCAGACACCATTAACAACTCTTTTCAACATTATACACTCACCATTATACAGTATTTCGGCCATTTTTCGCAGGAAATAACACACGACCTTCCCCCGTCAAGATCTTCTTCACAACTGATGTTTTCTCCCCTCCAGTGCGCGCGCGCGCGTCTCACGTGGGTTACCTGCTTATTATTATTATCATGGGGAGAGCTAAACCCGTAGGATTATACAGCGCATGTGGGGGGGATAGAAGGTATTCAGGCTCAATTCAGGGAACCGGAGCACAAATCTAATTCCCTAGATCAAGAGCCTCTCACCAGCGTCAAGGAACCCCCCTTGAGGGGTACCTGCTTATTTTCAATTATTTCGGGTCATTTTATGGCGGGGCGCTAAACCTGTGGGGGCCGGGCACTTCCATGGGGTAATGGGCGTTAATCAGGTTTGATCTATGGGAGTGAAAGGCGGCTACAAATTCCCCGGATCAAAAGCCCTGAAACCGGAATAAATTCACAGCAACTCTCTCCTCCTTCACCCTTGAACACTTAAATAAGTGTATTTAATAAGCTAATTTAAGTAAATAAGTAGTTTATTTAGGTACAGGTACATATAAGTACAGTTACTGTACATTGTGTAAATTATCCTACAGGATAACGCCCCCCTGCCCCCCCCCCCAAGAAAAAATAATGGTCAAAGTGACTTATTTCTGTTGTATAATCTTATTATTTAAGACCATAAGAAAGAAGAAGCACTGCAGCAGGCCTACTGGCCCAAGCTAGTTAGTTCCAACTCACACCCACTCATGTATTTCTCAGAGCCTGATCAACCAGGCTGTTGCTGCTGGCTGCACGTTGGTTTGCGTGCAGCCAGCAGCAACAGCCTGGTTGATCAGGCTCTGATCCACCAGGAGTCCTGGTCACAGACCGGGCCGCGGGGGCGTTGACCCCCGGAACTCTCTCCAGGTAATGTCAATAAGTCACTCAGATTTTTTGGGGGGGATTATCCTAGGGTTCTGTACACATATGCTGCTATGTATGATAATTCTATGTAACTGTATTTGTGTATACCTGAATCAACTTACTTAACTACACAGGAGTTTGTTCCACTCATCCACAACTCTATTACCACCTGGAGTTTACCTGGAGAGAGTTTCGGGGGTCAACGCCCCCGCGGCCCGGTCTGTGACCAGGCCTCCTGGTGGATCAGCGCCTGATCAACCAGGCTGTTGCTGCTGGCTGCACGCAAACCAACGTACGAGCCACAGCCCGGCTGATCAGGAACTGACTTTAGGTGCTTGTCCAGTGCCAGCTTGAAGACTGCCAGGGGTCTGTTGGTAATCCCCCTTATGTGTGCTGGGAGGCAGTTGAACAGTCTCGGGCCCCTGACACTTATTGTATGGTCTCTTAACGTGCTAGTGACACCCCTGCTTTTCATTGGGGGGATGGTGCATCGTCTGCCAAGTCTTTTGCTTTCGTAGTGAGTGATTTTCGTGTGCAAGTTCCAGTACTTTGCTATATCCTTCCTGAATCTGAATTTTTCCAACTTAAAACCATTGCTGCGAGTCCTGTCTTGGCTAGATATTTTCAGCACGTTATTTACATCCCCTTTATTTATTCCTGTCTTCCATTTAGACACCTCAATCATATCCCCCCTAATTCTACTCCTTTGGTAATAGAGTTGTGGATGAGTGGAACAAACTCCCCAGTACAGTTATAGAAGCTAAAACCTTGTGTAGTTTTAAAAATATGTTAGATAAATACATGAGTGGGTGTGAGTTGGACCTGACTAGCTTGTGCTACTAGGTCAGATGCCGTGCTCCTTCCTTAAGTGAATGTGACCTGACCTGACTCGGCTGGGGTATTGGCTTAAGCCGGTAGGAGACTTGGACTTGCCTCGCATGGGCCAGTAGGCCTGTTGCAGTGTTCCTCCTTTCTTATGTTCTGGAGTGTGCAGATTCAGGGCCTTCAGTCTATCCTCATAGGATAGAGAGGGCCCTCAGTCTATCCTCATAGGATAGACAGGGCCCTCAGTCTATCCTTGTAGGAAAGACAGGGCCCTAAGTCTATCCTCATAGGATGGACAGGGCCCTCAGTCTATCCTCATAGGATAGACAGGGACCTCAGTCTATCCTCATAGGATAGACAGGGCCCTCAGTCTATCCTTATAGGATAGACAGGGCCCTCAGTCTATCCTTGTAGGAAAGACAGGGCCCTCAGTCTATCCTCATAGGATAGACAGGGCCCTCAGTCTATCCTCATAGGATAGACAGGGCCCTCAGTCTATCCTCATAGGAAAGACAGGGTCCTCAGTCTATCCTCATAGGATAGACAGGGCCCTAAGTCTATCCTCATAGAATAGACAGGGCCCTCAGTCTATCCTCATAGGATAGACAGGGCCCTCAGTCTATCCTCATAGGATAGACAGGGCCCTCAGTCTATCCTTATAGGATGTCTAGACAGGGCCCTCAGTCTATCCTTGTAGGAAAGACAGGGCCATCAGTCTATCCTCATACGATAGACAGGGCCCTCAGTCTATCCTCATAGGATAAACAGGGCCCTCAGTCTATCCTTGTAGGAAAGACAGGGCCCTCAGTCTAACCTCATAGGATAGACAGGGCCCTCAGTTTATCCTCATAGGATAGACAGAGCCCTCAGTCTATCCTCATAGGATAGACAGGGCCCTCAGTCTATCCTTGTAGGATAGAGAGGGCCCTCAGTCTATCCTTGTAGGATAGACAGGGCCCTTAGTCTATCTCATAGGATAGACAGGGCCCTCAGTCTATCCTTGTAGGATAGACAGGACCCTCAGTCTATCCTCATAGGATAGACAGGGCCCTCAGTCTATCCTCATAGGATAGACAGGGCCCTCAGTCTATCCTCATAGGAAAGACAGGGCCCTCAGTCTATCCTCATAGGATAGACAGGGCCCTCAGTCTATCCTTATAGGATAGACAGGACCCTCAGTCTATCCTTGTAGGAAAGACAGGGCCCTCAGTCTATCCTCATAGGATAGACAGGGCCCTCAGTCTATCCTCATAGGATGACAGGGCCCTAAGTCTATCCTTGTAGGAAAGACAGGGCCCTCAGTCTAACCTCATAGGATAGACAGGGCCCTCAGTCTATCCTCATAGGATAGACAGGGCCCTCAGTCTATCCTCATAGGATAGACAGGGCCCTCAGTCTATCCTTGTAGGATAGACAGGGCCCTCAGTCTATCCTTGTAGGATAGACAGGGCCATTAGTCTATCCTCATAGGATAGACAGGGCCCTCAGTCTATCCTTGTAGGATAGACAGGGCCCTCAGTCTATCCTCATAGGATAGACAGGGCCCTCAGTCTATCCTTGTAGGATAGACAGGGCCCTCAGTCTATCCTTGTAGGATAGACAGGGCCCTCAGACTATCCTTGTAGGATAGACAGGGCCCTTAATCTATCCTCATAGGATAGACAGGGCCCTCAGTCTATCCTTGTATGATAGACAGGGCCCTCAGTCTATCCTTGTAGGATAGACAGGGCCCTCAGTCTATCCTCATAGGATAGACAGGGCCCCCAGTCTATCCTTGTAGGATAGACAGGGCCCTCAGTCTATCCTTGTAGGATAGACAGGGCCCTTAATCTATCCTCATAGGATAGACAGGGCCCTTAATCTATCCTCATAGGATAGACAGGGCCTCAGTCTATCCTCATAGGATAGACAGGCCCTCAGTCTATCCTTGTAGGATAGACAGGGCCCTCAGTCTATCCTTGTAGGATAGACAGGGCCCTTAATCTATCCTCATAGGATAGACAGGGCCTTTAATCTATCCTCATAGGATAGACAGGGCCCTCAGTCTATCCTCATAGGATAGACAGGCCCTCAGTCTATCCTTGTAGGATAGACAGGGCCCTCAGTCTATCCTTGTAGGCTAGACAGGACCCTCAATCTATCCTCATAGGATAGACAGGGCCCTCAGTCTATCCTCATAGGATAGACAGGGCCCTCAGTCTATCCTCATAGGATAGACAGGGCCCTCAGTCTATCCTCATAGGATAGACAGGGCCCTCAGTCTATCCTCATAGGATAGACAGGGCCCTCAGTCTATCCTCATAGGGAAGATTTCTGATACATGGGATCAACTTTGTCATCCTCCTCTGTACGTTTTCCAGAGCATTTATATCCATACCATTATGTAAGTTAATTCAGGTACAGGTACACATAAATACAGTCACATTCAGGGACTGACCACCTTGAAACTACGTCCTCAAGGGTGATGGACTGATGACACTGTCTTTACATCTCTACATCCTAACTAGGTTAGGGCATTGACTTAAGCCGGTAGGAGACTTGGACTTGCCTCGCATGGGCCAGTAGGCCTGCTGCCGTGTTCCTTTTTTCTCATGTTCTGTACTCGACTGAAGAAGTCTACTGTGTTGGCGAAAAGTTTCATAATAAAGATCCTTACTGTAGATGTTTCGCCATCCAGTGGCTTTATCAATACAAATTCAAGGACTATATAGATGCAGGGTTGCTTGACCCTTGTGGGTTTATTGCTTGGTTCGAGCTCCAGGCTGAGGGACTGATTACCCCAAGATCCTTCTGATCTTCAACCTTCTTCTTTGTATAGGACTGATGTAGCCAGTGTATGGGCGAAACGTCTGCTCAGTAAAGATACCCCAAGTATTCCATATGTGTCTAATTTATCAGTAGGCCTACTGGCTCATACATAAGGGACACTGCAGTAGGCCTACTGGCCCATACATAAGAAGGGACAGTGCAGTAGGCATACTGACCCATGTATAAGGAACACTGCAGCAGGCCTACTGGCCCATACATAAGAAGGGACAGTGCAGTAGGCCTACTGACCCATGTATAAGGAACACTGCAGCAGGCCTACTGGCCCATACATGAGAAGGGACAGTGCAGTAGGCCTACTGACCCATGTATAAGGAACACTGAAGCAGGCCTACTGGCCCATACATAAGAAGGGACAGTGCAGTAGGCCTACTGACCCATGTATAAGGAACACTGCAGCAGGCCTACTGGCCCATACATAAGAAGGGACACTGCAACAGGCCTACTGACCCATGTATAAGGAACACTGCAGCAGGCCTACTGGCCCATACATAAGAAGGGACAGTGCAGTAGGCCTACTGACCCATGTATAAGGAACACTGCAGC